AATTCACAAGGAGTATACACACTACTCATTGTTGTTCAAATTTGTATTTCATGCTTGGTTCCTCTCTTTGTTTGACAATAATTATGGTCAATTTTGATGCTTTGACACTAACTGTAATCAAGTATTTCTCTGTTTAAACTTATGAAGCTCTTGAGTGCTATACTACAGATAGTTTGTTAGGTTCTTGTGCCTAAGTTCTCAGAAGCTTGGTTTGATTTGAATGGTAGAATCAAGCACCTTTCTTCCTGTAAAATGGCTTGATTTCACAGAAAGAGACTAAGCTTCATAATCATTCAGCAAAACCTTCTGATTTCATAAATATGTGATTTTATGTATATACATTATTAGCAAGCTAAATTAATGTTCAAAAACTGACAAAACGTCTAGAGCTGTAGAAAGTTCTGTAATCTCGTCTGTATCATCCTCATCAATGTCTTCCTCATGTAGTTCTGTATCCAAGCAGTCTAAACTTGAATATACCTTCTCTTTATTTCCTACAGTGTCCCCAGTGCCAATAAGCCCTTTCAGTGGCTCCCTATTCCTGGTAAACACATCCTAGGCCTCAATTTCTTGGAGACAAGCAATATGTAATCAGTTTGTGGCCCAGCAAAGTGCATGTTGTTTCTTCAATTGTATAGTAAGGAGTGGATTGCAACACTCAAGATCAATGATCTCCTGTTCCATCTTCACTTCTGATTGGATGATGTACATATGTAGCCTTTGAATCTCCACATTTAATTGCTGAAGTTCTTCATAGGATTGTTTGAGTTTGAAAAACTTTAGTGCAGCATTACGTTTGGCTTCTTGCATCCAAGGCTTTTGATCTACTTGAAGGCGACCCAAGCAAAGAACGTCAAATTGGCCAATAAAGACGTATTTCAGTACTGTACTGACTTTGAGAGATGGCAGGCCCAATCGTGTAGCAGCATCATTATATGACTTGACAGTAGCCATCACAGTTTTTGATCGTGCCTTGATCCCCTTGCTAATGTAGTGCCTCTGCTTATACCCTATAAGTGTGTTAGTTATTTGAAGAAAATAAATAAAAATGTTACATACCAGTCCCAGCTTGATTCATTTTTGCAAGTTCAAAAAGTCGTGCCATAACCTCTCCTTCAAGCTTGTCAATAGCCTTATCATATAAGCACTTGGCAAGACTTTTGTCTACTTGTTTCCAGTCTGATGAATCAGGAGTCCACTGGTCTGTAATACAAAGTTTACCCTCAATGGCTTGTAACGTGTTCTGAATTGTAAGGAGAGTGTCTAGTCCTCTCATATTTGCTCTTTCTGCATTCCTTGTATCTCGTTCAGCTCTTGCAATATGGCTGTTGCCTGCTCTAAAGTCCTTAGGGCTCAGACGAACCCATTCAGTCAATTGAGCATTGTAAAAAGCTCTAATTAAATTATTTAGAGAGTAATATGTGTAAAAGTTAATCAAATACTTACTTTGCATTGGAATGTCTCTTAAGTAGACTTACATACTGTTGCTCCAATTCTTCAGTTTCGCTTGGTTTACCAGACTTCAGGGCCTTCAAATACATCTCTTCTTCAGCATGCCATTTCAGAAAATCATCATCTGAATCAATCCCAAGCTCTGTTTTTGCTCTAGTAAGCTCAATTGTCAAGCTCTCAGTATTGTAAAGAGCCTGTCTATAATTGTTCATAATGAATCGAGCTAAATGTAATTAGACTGAATGTATATAAGATAAAATTAAGTATATGTACTTACAAAGTTCTGCAAACTTATCAGAATTCCACTAAGTAAAATGTTGCAATATTGTCTGCTTGTGATGAAACTTTGAAGTGTGACGAGTAATTGATGCTACTCAATTCGACTCAGAAAAGACTCGTTCACAGCCCTCAAAATCCTCTAAGCCAGTACCATCAATGTATTGTGGGTGCTACTGTAATTGGCACTCTCGACAATGTGTATGACCATGAAATGCCCCACAGCAAAAGTGACAATTGTTTGCTCGAATTTTTGGGCCAAGCAACTTGCTATTGTTGGCTGTTGTGGAGAATCTGCAACCAATGTCATAGCCAACCATAAGATTGTCACCAAACACTTCCATCAACTGGCCTGTCAATGCAAGCAGATATTTGGCACTATTAATAGTAGCTGTCAGTTCAAATTCACAAATATGAAATAAATAATTGATTACTCACAGTTCCCCACTTTGAATCATGTCACAGATAAGAAGGACTACACTATGACAACATGCAGTAATAAAAATCCCAGTTTCAGAAAAGGTCCCCCACATCTTTTTTTTGGAGTCTGCTGATAGATTTGTCTAGCAATCTGTACATGGAGTTTTCTCAGTAACACTATCAACTGGAGAGCCTTCTTCATCAATTGTTGAACCAGATGCAGAGAGTCCTGTATGTTCCATTCCATCTGTAGTACCTGAGTCAACAGTACTGCTTCTGTTCTGTATTGGTTCTAGAATCTATGAAGGAGATCAGTATTACTGAAACACACTGGAAAAGTTTAATGAATTTCATAAACACTACTTCCATCCTTGCTTCCCCTATAGTTTAACAGAATAATATAATAAACTCACCCTTTCTGAATGTTTCTTTACCTCATATTGGTATTTATTAACAGTAGACACCTCCACAAAAATGTCTGAGTGTATTGTACAATTATCCAGCCTCTCAATGTTGACTATCTGTGTTGTGTTGCCTATAGAATCTAGCATGCAGCACTGTACAGTATTTTGTTTCAGTGACTTGTTTCTATCCATACAAACCAACATTTTGAAATCCAATTTTTCTTTGTCTGGTTGTTCTGCTACACAACAGGGACACATGTCCTTGTACTGAGATATGAGTGTAGGATACTTCCTTCTGTCAAGTGCTTCTTCAATACGCCACAAAATCTCCAGATAGACATCAAAAGCACAAAAAAACATCTTTGCATATGAGGTTTGAAACAATATCTAATTAAACAGTTAGAATACATAGGAAGAAGATATAAGAAACAATACATTATAGAGTTCACACAAACTATGCATAAAGGGCTGGATTCCAAGACTTGGGCATCTACTACTTATCACCTGGTAGGCCTCAAGGACACACATTGAAATACCTAAGTTCAGGTTTAATGGAGCATTTGGCATGTACCCATGGCAAACCATTGTTTCTGTTAATGGTCTCTCTGAGTTGTATGGGAAGGAAAGACTGTTCCTATCTTTATTCCAAAGATTAGATGTACTTTGAAATCCTTAAGACCTGGAAACTCACTGAACATATCAATACAGATTATAGGATCATGCAAATCATTGTCTACAGTTGATTCTGGAGCACTGTTTGCATCCTACTCCAAATAAGCATGAAATAATTGCTTGTATAGACTCTCCCAGTGTTTGTTTGATGTTTCTATATGCTCATGCTCTGCCACCTTTGAGTGATATTGTCTGTGCCTTAAAGACGTTAGTATGTATCAAGAGAGCTAATATCTGATTCTAGTACATACTTTGTTTGAAACTGTCTCAAATATGCTTTCATGCAGCACTCTTCACTCTCCTCTTCTGCATCTTCTATGTCCTTGTAATCATCCTCCTCTCCAGCAACAATAACTTGCTCTGTTGACCAGCCATCATTTTGTGCCAGTGCATCCTCTATCCAACCTAACAGGCCCTCATAATTGCTACAGTTGTCTTGATACTCTAACCCACCCAGTGTGTCAATTTGACTCATCTGTTCAGCCTGTTTCTTCAGAATTTCCTTGCATAGCTCTATCAGACTGTTCAAAAACTATATAACTTCATAAATAAAGCAATAAATACTTACCCTGTAATTTTTGCCTCCATTCCTCCTTAATCTCATCTTTGTTGTCTTTAGTTGTTCAGATCTGCTTTGTCTTTCTAGTGATAGAACCAAAATCCTCACTAAGATTGAGGTACGAAATCCTGGCTGATTGTGAGCCACCAGGCCTTTTTCTGGGCATGCTGTATCTTGCTTGACAGAGGGGGAGAAGGGCAGAAGTATGATGTGCAACCTGTCAATCTGTTAGAGTTTGATTATTCTTACATGATACAAATACACACACAATCTATTAGCTGTACTGGTAGCACTTCTGAGTCATTAGAACAAGGTACTTGTTTAACTTCTACTTTTCTAAACAAGCAGAAGTTTGATGTACACTCAGGGGATCCATGTTTATGCCAGGAGTGAGTGTTGATCCATTGATTCACACTGATGGAACTCAGAGATCCTACTATAGTATGTAATTCCCTCTCAATCCCTTAATCATAGCTGTAATTATATTAGCCCAATGATGAACACAAGCCTTGCATGTTACTGTGATCTGTGCAATCGTTCTCAGTAGACTCCTGTGTAACCCAAACAGGGTTGTTCATTAGAAGTGGAAGGCAAAAGCTCCTTCATAGGTCAATAGGCTATCTGCCACTGTATCATGAATGCTAGCTTGTGTAGTGCTCTAGAATCATCTGAGCTTTGCAAGCATGACCAGCTTGATTACCTTTCCTGTAGTCCTGTTGAAATACAAATCTTACCTTGATGCACATTGGTATACACACTTACATCATGTTGTTGTTAATTTATTTTCTCTGTTTTAGCATAATTTACTGTATCCTGTATTAAAATAATAAGTTAGATATTACAAATGCTAGCTTACTTATACATAAAACTCAAAACATGCATTGTTACTTAAGCAAGGCAGACTTTTTTTTGATAATATTTACCAAGAACCATATTTTTAATTGACAATATGAATTAATTAATATATACAAGGCTAATAGAAAAAGAACAGGTATAAATGGTGAAGAAATGAGC